CATTTTTTACTTCATAGTTTTCACAGGAATAGTGAAATCTCATTGATTCTCATAACAACCTGTACTATGATTCTCATTTTCTGGAATATGGATGTGACCAGTCCAAAGTTAGCGTATATTTTAGTAGGAAGCTAGAATTATATTCTCCAAGTCTCTTGCTGTCTAATACATTTTCACATGATACTCGTGAAATGTACAGAGCATATGTGTATTTGGGAACCAAATGATTGAACTATACTAAGTAAAGGTTGACTTTCCCCCCTACAGACCCAATTAGATCAATTTATAGAATCATCACTAAATTACAGTAAAAACCCCTTTTCTTCAAGCATCTCAAAAGCAAACTATTAAGACAAATGAGGTATGAAAAGCACAAGAAGTCAGAAATTTAAAAAAAATTAAAGATCTCTAAATAGCCAAAATAACTCTCAAAAACATCAAGAGAAGACTCTGTTCAAATCTTAATTTTACACATGCTTCTAGTTAGCTTGGTGATATGAGTTTATAGATATTAGAAGTAGCAAACTACAAGATAAAGTATGTATTAGAGAAAGTTAGAAACAGCCTATTAAGACAGCTGTCTGAATTAAAATATTAAATTTGACAGAAACAGAAGATACCCATGTGCATATATGTATCTGTGTATTTTAGTTTATTTCTTGCACGAGACAGAAACACAGAACACCCAACACGGTATTCATGCCACTATGCACCCGTCTCAGCTAGCCTCGATCACTGGCACACATCTGCGTACTCGGCATGCTCAGGGAGGTCCTGGATTTACACCAGGAACCTTTCCCTGAGGGTCCAGCTGCATTCTTGCTGTGCCACCAGTAGGCCTCAGATATTTTAAAAAACTATAAAATGTGGAACTAGCTAGTGGCACAGTGGCAACATTCTGATCTGCTGGACTCTGAGAGCACGTGTGTGTGCCCATAATCTGGACTGGTTGAGGGTTTAGGGTGAATTGTGGCATAAGGACTCTGATGGGGGTACCTCTTTCTCCCTCATGAACTTGAAAAAAAAAGTTATTTAAAATAAGAATTATAAAATGAATAGCTATCTGAGTCTCTTTGGGGAGTCAATATCCCTTCAATAGTTATTTGTTAATTACTATTGTTAATTATCATTATTAGTAATTATAATCCAGAGTCATGAATAAATGCTTATGTTATGTTACAATACTGTGCATATTGTACAACAGAAGGGAGCTATGTGTGTGTGTGTTTTAATTAATTTAGAAAAAATTTCCTTCTTCCATGAGTGAGAGAGACAGAAACAGAGAAATAGGCACCCCGTTGGAGTCCTTACACCACGATCCAGCCTCAGCCCAGCCCCAGCCCCAGCCCCAGCTAGGCCCAGACCATGGGCAAGTGTATGCCCAGCAAGTTCAGGAAGGTCTCTAGAGATGAATCCAGAACCTGCACATATGGATCAGTCTTAAAGAGCACTGTGCTATCTCTAGGTCACCACTTGTGCCCTGCACATTATGTGTCTTAAATAAAAAGTGTTGGTATGCATTTTAAGTTCAGGAGGCTAAAGAAGTAACTTTCAGTTACCAGAAAATTTTATATATGTGAATTCTTTTTTTTTTTAGAATTATTTTATTCAGCTTTATTTCTTTTCTTTAATTTGACCAGAGAAGGTGAGAGACGGAGAGTGGGAAGGAGAAGGGGAGGGAGGCAGGGAGAGAGAGAGAGCCATCAGGTCCAGAACTCAAACCTCAGTTTACCATGTGAGAGTCCAGTGCAACTTTACCACCATGCCACTTGCTGGCTCATACATGTGAATTCTTCAGACAAGTTAAAAATAATAAAGTATTACTGCACTTGTTTATATGAAGCTCTAGACATTACCCATAATGATAAAAATCCAGAAATTAAAGACTTAATAAACCTTAAACTAAAATAGAATAAAATGGCCTGACCATTCAAACAATTAGGAAACTTTCAGATCTCTAAGATCTTGGGAAAAAAAACAAACAAAAAAAAAAACAACTTAATATTCTATAGAGTTGTTTATTTCCCAAAAAAATGTATTCTGATATCCTAAGAGGACCATAAAGAACACAATCTTAGTTGGATATTTTTAAATATTTCTTTTTTCTTTTAAATAAAACAAATCTTTATTTAGAAATGTAATTAGAGGTTTCATAAAATTACTAGAACATCCCACAGATCCGCTTTTGGTCAGTTTAAAAGCGTGGCACTACAAGTAGGCTTCTGGTTTTAAATTGTTAACATCAGTACAAGTTTTGTCCTCAGCATAGCATTCTAGCTAATGATGGTATGTTTTCTTTTCTTTTCTTTTCTTTTTTTTTTTTTTTTTGCCAGAGGGCACTTGTGCTTGCCAGAAAGAGACAAAGACAAAAAGAGGGAAAGCTAGAAAGCACCATCAAAGCCCTCCCCCATGGGGAATGGTAATCATAATCTCGTCTCCATTTTTCCCTCCTCATAGGATTCTGGGCACACGTACATATCCAGTGCGCTTCTCAAGTTGCAGGGTCCAAGACTTGACCTGCGCAGTCAGCCATGTGGGATCCAGCCTCCCCAACCATCAGACTATGGGCTGGCCTGACGGTATGAATTTTAAATAAATGACTCCTCACTCCTCTAAGCTACCATTAACTAAATGCTTTATTGATACTTTATTTTCCATCTACTTTTCAATGATCCAGCTTCTGACCAATTAAGCTGAAATATATAGTTTCTGAAATGCATTTCTAAAAGGGAAAAATGTCCTATATTTTCAAGATGCCTCTCCTCTTCAGGAAAATGTAATATCTAGCAATTTATTATTGAAGGTTAAACAAGTGTATGTATCAGGGCTAAAAGGACTAAAAAATCTGGAGAGTTACTAACAGTAAAAAACAACAAGTAAATA